GACACCCACTACGGCGCCATTGCCGCCAAGGCACACGCCTGGATGTCTTTCATCTTTCATTCCCATGCTTGAGGTTCAGAAGATGGAAGTCGCATGAAGATCCTGCCGCATTACTCAACAACCTGGCCCTCCCCAACCCCCACCCCCCCAGGAAGTGGCACAAAAAGTTTGGTTCCCAACGGTCGAACTCACGGAATGATTCGCAAGTTTGTGGTCAGCCTTAGTTTTTTCCATAGCATCTTGTCGGCCAGAGAATGAGATTGAGATGCTGCTCTGGGAAGTGATCAGTGCTGTACGACGCCTTTGGTTTTGTGGTTTCTTGTGCGGGTGCTTCTTGAGGCATCAAGAGAATAAGAGAATGATGTGAACATGGAGGTGCTCCTCAGGTCCCTCGTATAATCCTCAAGCCAGTCCTGGGCCTATGAACAGCACTTTGAACAGCCGCCACGGATACTCCCTGCAGTCCTAAGTCTCGATGGTCCGGTAGGGTGCAACCCTCATGCACGCCAACTACTATACTGGTACCACTCCCGAGCTGAGAACGGGCGAGATGGTCTTGGACTCAAGCATTGTTTCAGGTCAGACCCAAATTTCGGCGATCATGTGGTTACTGCACCTATGCACAGCAGCACACCCCACCGACCCTTAACAAATCCGAAAGGCCCCCCCAAACAATCCCAAACGCCCCTTAACCTTCTAAGCATCCTCCCTGCGCGCTGGAGGCTGTCAAGATGAAGCCCTCGGATCTGACGGTCCAGGAGCGGTGTTGGTTAGGTTAGGGCTTCCAGGGGAGTTCATGTGGCAATGGTTGCATGTGATCTTGGCGGCCTCTGGCTTTGGGATTTTGTGGGCTTTCGCTGTCTACCCCTCGATTTGAGCCAGCGAGTCTACTGCGAAGTAATGCAAGAAAGGACCCTACGCCCGGGCCTTGACGTAGGAGCAGATGCAAAGCCTAAAGCAGTTTTCCTACCCAAAAGATGCGCTCAAATGCGAACAGCGTAGACGAAAACCCCTCACAGACATTTTTCCGTTGTTTCGGGCCGCTGACATCCTGCTGAGGAAAAGGCTCAGGAGGAGTTTGAGAAGCAGCGGCCCGGACGAAAGCTTTGCTGCGGAGACACGACTCGTTTCCAGAACGACTGATTCAAACTCAAGCGAACTCAAGCTCTCACATTTGTGCTTTTTTGGGCGGCATGATGTTTTGTACTCAATGTCGTTGTACTTCAGCCTAATCTACTGCCTGTCGAAACCGTCGTAGTTGCATGGGCTCCTCAACGGGTACAAGCCAGTGTTGACTGCAGAGTGCTTGACGGTGCCCTCTGAGACTCTACCTTGGAATTCCCCGAAGATTGCACAACGACTCGGCTTCCATCTTCTAAGCCTGCCTCTAGTGCCGATCCCAGGTTCGGCGTGAAATGGAGCAAAGTCATGGAGGATGCCCGAATCTCAGAGGGTGGGGGAAAACCTTGTTTCTTTGAAGGGTTTTCAGGCCTTTTAGGTTTGCAGTTTTGTCGGTTGGGGTCAGGCTCAAGAGGTCAAGGGTGCAGACCCTTGCAGTTCAAAGGGGGTGATGCAGTTGGGTCAAAGGGCTTCCACGTAAAGGACGTAAAGGATGAAGTCTCGCGTGATACGAAGTCCGTGCTTTGCAGCCATGCACGCCTGTCACAAGACCCGAAGAGCGACTTCTCAAGACCTCGACCTTCGGATGATCCTTGTTCCCCCATGCCAAAGAACCCAAGGGCCTGGTCTACAATGCGATGGATGCCGCCAAGAAGCTGGGAATCAGCCCGGACGTGCCTCGGCCAACGGTTTTGGATTTTGGGGTTCTTCAAACCGATTCAAACCTAACCCGAGGGTGTAAGGGCCAACACGCCAACACCCCAGGCATCGCGCAGCTCCAAGGACCCCGAACAAAACCCTTGGTCCTCGACCGAACGGATGAAAAGCTTTCTCCTAAACCCTCAACTCTGAACCCCATACACGTAGCCCCGTACACCTTGGACATGTGACCCCCCGGCCCTCAGCCCTCAAATCAGAACCCTCGACCCCAAACGACCAGCATCAACCCCGAAAACCCCGGCTGTAATCTAAGCCCTAAGCCGCTGATCTGTAGGAGCTGGGCAAGAAGTACGACCAGCTCAAGAAGGGCGAGACGATCATCAAGTCTTGGGCCCTGGGGCATGGGGTTTCAGGATTGGATTTGAAGGATTTGGGGGGGAGGAGCATTCTCCACGAACATCTTGAGCCTCTGGCGGAGGTTCGGCGGTGGCTTCTACTGCGGCAAGGCCCTGGCGCTTTCTGGCAGTTTTTTTGGGGAGGACGGGTTGAGGATGCGAAACCTGGCCCTGGGCGTCAGGTGGACGGCATCTACGTCATCAACGGCTTCTACATGAACATGCGCTCGAAGTTCACCGCTCCGGGCACCAGCATCTACTACTACGAGGCGCGCGCGCGCGCGTGGTTTGGAGGGGGGGAGGCTGTGGAGTCAAGTAGGGAGTGTGTCAAATGCACAATTTCTTGTTGTGCCACTGCAGCTGTACAACCGCAGCTTTCCAGGTGGAGTGGCCGGCGGAGAAGATGTCCTGGGCGGACTTCCGAGGCCAAGTGGACGTGAGAGCTTCGCAGGGGCTCCCCATGCCAATCTGAAGTTTCGGACGCCCGTGCGGCCATCAACGGTTTCGTGGGACTTTGGCGGGCGCAGGCAAGCTGCTTGGCCCCACAGACCCGGCCACGGCCCCTGCCGGCTCCCTCCGCAACCTGATCTACAAGGAGCCGCTGTCTCGGGGCTTTCCGGCATTCCTGAGGGCGTTCGTAGGCTGCACTTTTCTCATGCTGTTTAGGATTCTGATGCTGCCTCCTCCTTGAAAAATATGTTAAACACGCTCCCCCACCCCAAACAAATCCGTATGGCGAGGACTGGAGCGACCTGGGGCTGAAGGCATGGCTCCGAAGTTGAGGGTCTTTGGGGTGTGCTGCTTTGTGGCATTTTGCGAACGCGCAAGAGGGATCAGTTGCTTGCTGGAGGCCCAGCCGGACACCGGCGACAACGGCGTCCACGCCTCTGCCTCGCCGTTCGAGGCAAAGAGGGGGCAAAGAAGAGATACCTGAAGCCCGGCAAGCTGCACCTTGTAAGAGCCACAGGCGCTGGCTGAGCGATCCAACTGGGTCCGGGCTTCCGTTAGCAAGGACGCCTTCGGCAAGGCCCTCCGCTACGCAGGTGAACCATGAGGTCGTGAGGTGTTCGCCGGGACTTCAGGCTCGGGAAGGTTTGGTGAAGTTTTGGAGCACATGCTCTTCAACTCATTCCCGAAGCCCTACAAGAACCCTTTCGGTCTCTACAAGCCCTCCGCCTTCCAGGCGCTTCTGGCCAGCGGAGTCAGCATGAAGATGGCAAGGGAGTGGCCGGGACTCCCGGCGGAGGGCCGGAAACCAGCTGCAAAGTAGGGTTGCAGCCCTGAAGCCCCAAAAATCTTCCAGATTCCGAAGCACTCGTTTGCTGCAGAGGTTCGACGATCCCGCCGTCGAGTTTGAGGGCGGCAAGAAGTCTGTGTTTGACATGCTGGAGGATCCGAACCACCTCAACTCGCATTCTTTTGCTGATCGATGTCTGTTTCTTGTTGGTGCCGAGAGGGGGTTGAGGGCTTCAGGGTTGTTTCAACTCTCGCAGTTATATCCGAATTGGTGGAGCATCCGGGAAAGAGTTTTCGGCCCCTCAAACAATCAATGTGCACACCTTGTGAGTCGTCACAGGATCTGGACGCCGGCGAGTGCCTGAAGAAGTGCCCCAGAGGGAGGGGGAACGGAGCTCATGGAGCTCACACGAATTCTAGACCCGAGATTTTGGGGCTGGAAGCTTTAAGACGCAAGGAGTGTGTTTGTCTACGTCCCCTGTTTGGCTCCCTGGCGTTTTTGAGCTCCCCTTTTTTTGGGGCTGCCTTGTCTCCTGCGCCCCCTGCCTCCCTGGCCCTCTGTTCCTGCGGTGCCCTGGTGCCCTTGTTAGAATGGACTCGGGATTGAGAGGAATTGGGGGAGAGATCAAACTGTTTCCTCCTGCAGTGTATCATGGAGAACTAAAGAATGGCTGCACCAAGCCACTTCGTAGAGATTGATGAAGAGCCAGGTTAGCGAATCTGTTGAATGAGATCATTGCTTTCAAACTCCAGCAGTGGTCGCTTCGAGAGTGACTCTAGAGTGAGTTCATATCATATTTCATTCAAATGCTGAAGAACAGGCAAGAGAAGGCGACATGTAGAGACCAATGCGTAATGATCTGTTGATTACGCTGGTCAGGCAGAAGACGACTGATCCATTACCGCTTTGAGATTGATGATCTCTCACATCAACATCGTCACTGAGACGTTGGAGACTGTGTAAAGCCATGAGGAGTAGGTATGTCACTGTGCCACGTGCCCGGAACGATGGAGGTCTAGCACCAATGGAAGTCAAATCATTGAAGGAGAAGGCAAATACAGGAACATGTGGAAAAGGAATGCAAGGACAAAGGAAAGGCAAGAATAGGAATGTACAAAGGAGAGGGCAAGGGAATGTACATGAAAGGCAGAGTAAAAGGCAACGGCAAAAAATCGGAGAAAGAGGAAAAGACAAGGGTGCTTCCTGTGCGGAGACCCAGGCTATTAGGGTGAATTCCGGAAAGCCATTATTGGATGAGTGTCAGCCGTAGCTGAAGGAAATGAAAAGAATGAAGAAAGTTGGACTGGGGCACATGGAAGAAGATTGGTCTTGAAGGGGAGCTCCAAAAATAGGGAGCCAAGCACGCCACGGGGAGCAAAGAAGGCGGTGCCTGCCAAGTTCGGACCAGGAAGGCTCCGAGAGGCTTGAAGAAGTGTGAGTGATGACGTCCATCCTGTGAAAGGTGAGCCTAGTACAGTCAGTATACTGTAGTCTATAGTTGAGCCCATTTTGAGGTGCAAGGCCATTGCCGCGGCCAACAAGTGAAGACCTAGGCCGGTGGTCTTGCCGCGCCTTGGCCGATCGAGTTCTGTTTCTGGTGACCCGGAGCGCGCTTCTGGGGCTATAGGGGGGGCCTAAACCGAGTTGCAGGCCATAGATGCAATGAGGCGAGTTTCGGCAGCTCGAAGCAGTGGCGGGCGTGGGATGTTCAGGCTTGAAGAAGATCGACTTTGGGTTTTCCACAGCAGTTTACACATCGTTGCAAGATTAACAGAAGTCCTACCTGCTGCGAAAAGAGGTTGCTATCTGAATGTCACTAAGCCTCCATGACACAGTTAGGAAAAGCGCAGGGATTGTGCACCTTCCGAACCGTTTAGCATGCGTTTTGAGGTGCCTCAGGGGGCCTTTGAATCGCAGCTCTCTGAGCGCGCATTTTGACAAGGCGACGTGAGATGCCCGATGTGAGCAACAGCAGGGGCGTCCGCATTTTTGATTGCCTCCTGTGATAAGGACCTTCAATGATTCTGAGGTGGTTTGCTGGAATAGTATTTCGGGCGGTTGCCCCCCTCTCCATCTCCCTTTCGACGTAACTGTTCCTCAGCTTTTGTGGACTCCACTGCTGCCTTTTGTCCCGACCGGGTCTGCAGAGTCGCCTCCACTATGGCGGGCGGTTGTATATTCCCCCTGCAGCCTCCGGCAAGATTTGTACTGTAGAGGGTCATGCCTGCACACTGAAGTTGATGGCCCAGGTGAATGGGACATGCGGAGCCATAGAAGAACCAGGAGCTGTTTTGCGGCATGTCCCTATCATGAGGTTATATCGTCCGTCACAGACCACGCAAGAGCATCCGAGGTGCTGCGAAAAGGCTTGTCCGTGTATCGGATGCTTTCAAGAATGCTCTTCTTCGTGTTTTTTTTTTTTTTTTTGCTGGGCTTTTTTCCATTGGAGTATGGGCCTAAGACCCGAACCCCGAATGAGGTGGCCGTTTGAACCGACAGCCTAAACCGTACCTGCAGACGGCTGCAACGTCCATTTAAAGTTCTTACACCCGAACCCAAAGCTCCGAGGTCCTTTCGGAGAGAGCCGGGGTTAGGCTAGGGCTAGGAGAGGACTGGGGCCCAAGTAACAGCAAAACACTTCTCAACCTTCAGCCCCCGCCCAAGAGAAGACCACAAACCTGCCTCAGCCCCGAAATCCTCGACCCTTCTGCTCCATAGCCGCGCCATAGCCTGAATGAAGAATACCCGAGAAGCTCCACACCCTGAACATTAGATCAGAAACCCTAGACGCCCTGAAGCCTACAACCAATACCAACCACCAGGCAAATCATAAAGCTAAAGTCCAACCTTCTGTGGAGGCCTTGGCTGCTGAGACTCGGGCAGCCAAGGCAGGATGTTGGGTTTGGGCTGATTTACCCAGTTATTCCTCAAATGGTGCTTGCACTAGGCTCCTTGTTCAGGGTAGAGGAAACTGATGCTCTGAGCCCAGCGCCCGCGCCCTTGCTCGAGACGTCAAGTCGAAGAATTGTCGTCGCTTTGTCGCATCACAAGATCTGAACACCGTTTTCTCGACCCCCGGCTGATCAGCAGTCCATCACGGACTATTTCCCCTAGGAGCAGGTCGGTTCATTCGACCACTAGCTGATCAAACATCCATCGAAAACCATCTCTCCCCAAGAGGCTAGGAACAAAGATTGTTTTCGGTCACGGGATGATTGAAAGCCATCTTTTTCGCTGGGCGCCTAAACCAAAAGGACAGTCGTAAACATGTTTTCTCTGTCTGCTTCTCTTTCTCTCTAAAGGCTATTCAAGGCGTCAAGGGTTTTCGAGGGCGGCTTTGAAGCCCTTGGGCTTCAAGGTCCGAAAGTTCTGGGGCCTTAGGCTCTTGGGATTTGGGGTGCAAGAGGATTTTTGGGCTTTTAGGGATGTGCGGCTTTCGGGGTTGGGGTGTTCAGGGAGTTTCGAGCTTGAAGGCTGAGTGTTTGGGAGGGCTGCCGGACATCTATATCCAGGGTCTGAGGGATCGGATTCCAGGGCTTTGGGTACAGGGCTGCAAAAACTTTGGAGCCCATGTTGGGAGCGCATAATGGGTGCTTTTTTGTTCTTCGTCATTTGGAATACATCGGCTTCCAAAGGACCCGGCGAGAGCCAGAGATGTAGAGATGTAGAGATGTAGAGATGTAGAGATGGAGAGATGGAGAGATGGAGAGATGGAGAGATGGAGAGATGGAGAGATGGAGAGATGGAGAGATGGAGAGATGGAGAGATGGAGAGATGGAGAGATGGGGAGATGGGGAGATGGGGAGATGGGGAGATGGTGACATGGGGAGATGGGGAGATGGGGAGATGGGGAGAGGGGGAGAGGGGGAGAGGGGGAGAGGGGGAGAGGGGGAGGGGAGCCGGTTGCTTGGTTAAGCTGAAGTCCTCATTGTTGTCTTTATGGGCTCGTCTAGGAGTGTAAAGCAGGCTCCCAGCTAACGAACAGAATGCAACAGGCTGCAAGAACAGGCCGCCTCACGCGGAAGAACACAATAATAAGTGTATCAGGCTAAGCATCCCGAATGACCAGGTGGAGTATGGATAAGGGGAGGGGGGAACGTCGTCCTGGATGCAAGAATCTGTTTCCGCCGCAAAGTATCACCTGGACTCGCTGCAGACTGCGCACCTAGCGCCCGCTCCCCTCAAGCCCCGAAGAAGAAGAGAAGAAGAAGAAGAGGAAGAAGAAGAAGAAGAAGAAGAAGAAGAAGAAGAAGAAGAAGAAGAAGAAGAAGAAGAAGAAGAAGAAGAAGAAGAAGAAGAAGAAGAAGAAGAAGAAGAAGAAGAGAGACCTTTTGCTTTTCCCCGAAAGGCCGAGCTGGGCGCTCTGCGAGCAGCCCGTGCGTCGGCCACGGTCGGGCAAGGGGAGGGGGTTCCGAGCTGTTCTCCGATGCTGTCTGGAAATACGTCGGGGCTTTTTTCAGAGGCTTGCCACGTGCTTGACACCGTAGGATGTTGGCAATTCTGGGCCTGACCCTGCAAGCCAGGCAGAGGAGTTCGAGACCGAGCAAGAGAGGCGCCCGGCGGCTTGTTCACTTTTGCAAGCTTTTGTGCACGCGCATTGAGGATCGCATCTTCGCTTACGTGAATTGAAGCTCCTCAAAGCTCCCCATCTGCAGAGATGCTCTTCTCTTGGCCTCAAGGCCGCCCGAGCCGTTTTTGTTTTCGGGTTTCCTTGCCCTCCACCCCAAGCTGTCAGCGCCTACATCGGTTGGGGCGCGAGGATGGCGGAGTGGGCCTCGAGGATCCGGGCCACCACCCAGGAGGCCGCGGCCTTGCAGGCCGGTTGTTAGGTGTCTTGGGAGGGGGGGTTCTTGGAGTGAGTTTCGTGGGGAGTTGGGGTGCCTTCTCGGGGATCCTTGCTTTGGGAGATATGGCGGACCTCCGTTGCTTTTCTCTTCTTATTTGTTTCGGGATAAAGCCCCCAACAGCCACGACACCCCGGGCCAGGCACAGCAGCAAATGGCTCAGGCGCACCTCAAGGCCGCCTCTTTGTCTTTGGCCCCTTCCAAGGGTGCTCAAGGCTTACAGTTTACAAGTAGGGAATTCAGGGCTTTTGATTCTCTCGGGTTTAGGGTTCAGATTTTGGGGAGCCGAATCCCTGCTCTGCATAATCCTAACATCCTCGCACGCACCAAGCCACTGAAATGCTACACCAACCGCGATGCTCAGAACCCCCTTACTCTCTTCAGCCCCAAGACCTCTAAACATCAATGCACCTGAAACCCTAACACCTCAAACCCCCCCGTCCCCCTCTACAAGCCTTCTAAACGCCCTCTTCGCAGGCCTTGCAGGCCATGATCAGCAGCACAGCGGGGCAGGTCATTGTTGCGCTTGTTCGTGGTACGGTTAGTTGTAACTTTGATTTTGGCTTGGCTGAGCCTTTTCTTTTTGCTTACTTGTGACTTCTTCCCGGAAGAAAAAGTGGCAACAACCCTAACATAAGATGGGTGGCAAGCCCGACAATGGGAGATGTGGTAAAAACAACATGCTGGGTCCTAAATTTTCCCTAAACCCTAGAAGGAGACCCAACTTAACATCCCAAAATTGTGAAAGGAGATGTTGTGTGGCAAGCATTACCCCCACCCCCCCCCCCCCAAAAAAAAAAAAAAAAAAAACAAAAAGAAGCAAATCATGACAGCAGTAGCAACAATAGCAACAATAGCAACAGTAGCAACAATAGCAACAGTAGCAGCAACATCAACAGCAGCAACAATAGCAACAATGCAGGACGCCGTTGCACAGAGAGAAAGACTTGCGCTAGTCGTAGTGGTCCAAGAGCAGCGGAGGAAAACGGGGTCATGATTTAAACCCTACATCTTCTCTTGCAGGCAAGCACTTCGAGCCAAGGCGGGCACACTCGATCTCCCCGTACCCGCGCGATTTGCCCCTGTTTGTGTTTTTGTTCTCCAGGCGCCGTGGATATGCCAAAGCGCAAAGGTGAGACGTCTGGAAAGATGCGCGATGCGCGCCACTCAGGCGCCGCGAGAGGTCACCGCAAGCCAAGTGCCCTGGCTGATCCGACCCTAATGTTGACTTCACATTAATGATTCCCGCTACAATTATAAAATCCAGCTGCCGGAACACAATAATGTAACCCCCCACAATTATAAAATCCAGCCCGGAATATTTTTTTTACGGGTGTGGTGCTACAAGCCTAATACTAAAACTAATAGTACGTCCTACCAGGATTTAGGCGAATATAATTGAGGAGGCCCTGGCCGGAGAGATTGATCAATCAAGGGGGGGGGTTTATTAATGCGAAGTCAACATTAACTGTTAAGCATCGGAACGACTCCAAACTGTGAGAAACCATGTGAGCCCAGAAGTCCAAAAGCGATGACAGTTCCGCATTCCTGAGCCCGGACGTTCAAAAGCGACGGCAGTTACGCATTTCGCGAGCCCAGACGTCCCAAAACAAGTGTTTCGCGATCCCAGACATCCAAAAGGGACGACAGTTTCGAAAACGGCGAGAGCCATCCCTTACCGAGGCGAGAGAGCGATCTCGTCCAATACTGCAGAGCTTCAGGCGAGCTAAGCTTCAGCTTCAGCTAGAAGTTTTTCCAGAGATTCACAGATTAAGACGAGACGTGAAAATGGATTGCGAGCCAGGTGTCGGTCAGAGAAGCTTCGTTTTTGAAGCGCAAAACGCGAAGACAAAAGCTTCAGGCGAAGCGCGAAGACAGAAGCTTCAGGCTTCAGGCGAAGCGCGAAGACATACGCTTCAAGTTTCAGGCTTCAGGCGAAGCGCGAAGACAGACGCTTCAAGCGTCAGGCGTCAGGCGAAGGCGAACTTGGCGAAGCGCGAAGACAAGAGCTTCAAGCTTCAGGCGAATCGCGAAGATACAAGCTTCAGGCTTCAGGCTTCAGGCGAAGTTCGCGAGCTTAAGCTCAACGCTGAAGCTTTAGGCTTCAGGCGAAGCGCGAAGCTAAAAGCTTCAGAGCTTCAAGGCTAAAGCTTCCGGGCTTCAACAGCTACACGAAACGCGAGCCAAGCAAAGCGCTTAGAAAATGAAGCTTCGCAGACAACCATGGGTTGCGCCATTTTTGCTGACCCATCTCGACATATTCAACCTCCCACCCTGTTCAGCTCCTACACCCGGAGCCCGATATGGGCTGGTTCGCTTTTGGGACTCAGGTTTAAGAGTTGCACACCCGCGAAACATACCCACGAAACACACCATGATCCCAACATTGTCGCCCCCCCCCCCCCCCAATATCGAGCAAACCCATATGGTGTTGAGGCAAAGTCGTGGAGCACCTTCAGAAGTGGCAACAGCGCCAAAACGGCCGCTGACACGTCCCTTAAAGGGACCGGCAGGAAGATCAATTCGGGTTTAGGGTTTGGGTTAAGGGCTTGGGGTTTAGGTTTAGGGTTTAGGGTGGTTGATGTTGGGGTATTAGGGTTTTCAGGGAGGTTTAGGGAGTTCGGGGAGTTTAGGGGGTTTTGGGGTGTTGGGAGTTTAGGGAGTTTAGGGCCCCTTGTGGACTTTTGGGCCTTTTGAAGCCATTTGCTGCCCTTGCTGCCTTGCTGCCTTGCTGCCCTTGCTGCCTTGCTGCCTTGCTGCCGTGCTGCCGTGCTGCCGTGCTGCCGTGCTTCCGTGCTTCCGTGCTTCCGTGCTTCCGTGCTTCCTTGCTTCCGTGCTTCCGTGCTTCCTTGCTTCCTTGCTTCCTTGCTTCCTTGCTTCCTTGCTTCCTTGCTTCCTTGCTTCCTTGCTTCCTTGCTTCCTTGCTTCCTTGCTTCCTTGTTTCCTTGCTTCCTTGCTTCCTTGCTTCCTTGCTTCCTTGCTTCCTTGCTTCCTTGCTTCCTTGCTTCCTTGCTTCCTTGCTTCCTTGCTTCCTTGCATCCTTGCTTCCTTGCTTCCTTGCTTCCTTGAGGTCTGACGGGCTTACTCCAACCAAACCCATCTGTCCTTTGCGTCTTCAGGCAGGGCCTCTCCACTGACCGATCTCTGCGCTGCCCCCCCCCCCCCCACCGCCCCCTGTTGTTTTAGCAGGCCTGCCAGAACAACGCAGAAAGGGGTGCGTCGCCTCACATCTCCAAAGTCTGTTGTCGGTATTGTTGTTTCTGTTTTTGTCAGGCGAGCGAGCACCTTGGCTCGGCTTTGAGGCACTCAGGCCAGCGCGGGAGCAGCTCCCCCTACGAGCAACCCGGCTGGGCGCTGAGGCTGTTAACGCTGCGCGACCCGCCTCGGCCTGACCACCAGGGGCTTGGGGGCAGATAGGGTAGGGGAGGGTCGGAGGAAGGCGATGGTGCTACCCAGACACCTGCGGCCCAAGGCCTCGCCGGGGGGCAGCTGATGCTCATGATGCTCACAGCTGATGCGCAAGATGCCAGATTTGAGGCAATCAGGCCAGCGCGGGAGCACGCAGCTAGATGATGCTCGTTGCTCGCTGTTGTGTCACATTTGAGGCAATCAGGCCAACATGGCTGGTGCTCTTGACGATCACAGTTGATGCTCGTGATGTTCGCTCCTGGGTCGCTTTGGGGGCAATCAAGCCAACGCAGGAGCAGCTGATGCTCATGATGCTCACAGCTGATGCTCTTGATGCTCCCTGCTTGGTCGCCTTTGAGGCAGTCAAGCCAACGCCGCAGCAGCATGAGCATCATGATGCGCGCAGCTGATGCTCGTGATGCTCACTGTTGGGTCGCCTTTGAGGCAATCAGGCCAACATGGCTGATGCTCATGATGCTCCTGAGGGCAGTCAAGCCAACGCAGGAGCAGCTGATGGTCAAGATGCTCACAGCTGATGCTCGTGATGCTCCCTGATGGGTCGCCTTTGAGGCAATCAAGCCAACACCGCAGCAGCTGATGCTCATGAATCTCACAGCTGATGTTGTGATGCTCGCTTGTTGGATCGCCTTTGTGTCCAGCCGGGGTGCTGGGATTTGCTGATGTATGGTGCTACTGGGCAGTAAGTCGGTGGTGCAGGATTCCTCCATGAACCATAGCAACAATAACAGTTGAAACAGTAGCCACAACAGTAGCAGTCATGATGGTGGTGGGAAGGCTCGTGAGCACCCGCCGCCCCAAAAAAGTCAAAAGAGAAAAAGTTGTAACTAAGCAAGGTGTTTGCATTTTGAAGTGCGAAAAGTTAAAAGTTACAACTAAGTATGTTGACCAATGCCCGGGAAAGTCACAAGTAAGCAAATACAAAAGTTCCAACCAAGTGCGCTTCCTTTTCGTCGCCGGTTTAAGGAGCCATGAAGAGCCGCTTTGGGTTTAGGCGGTTAGGGGTTTAGGGGGTTTTGAGGTTATGCCCAAATGCCAAAGGGGCTAACATGCATTTACCCCGATGTTAAACCCCAAGGCAACCTTTTGTTCCCTTCGGGCGTTGAGAGCATCTTGTCAGATTGTCTAGAATTCGAAGTTTCGGCTGTAGGGTTTTAGGGTTTTAGGGTTTTAGGGGTCTAGTGATTAAAGTGTCAATGCTTTAGGCACTGGCTTTCAGGGAGAGCTTTGAAGGCCAGCAAAGGCTGCCAGCACAAGAAGCATCTCATACGCACATAAGCCCCTAGATCCGAAACCACAGCCGAAGCGGCCTCAAAAAGCCCAACAAAAGAGAACCAGGCTGCTTGGAGTGCTCGCCGGGCATTTTTGGATTTCGGCTTCTGGCCATGTTTTGGGAACATGTTTCTGAGTTCAAGATTTGCAAATCCCACGCCGAAATGTTCGACTGGCCGTAGGTGCGCTCCAGGGAAGCTGTGCTGTATGGCGTCTTGCGGCAGGCTGAGGACTGAACAAGTTGAACAAGAGTTCAGGGCTTGGGTTTAAAGAGGCTGGGTCGACACCAACCTTGGATTTCCTGCTTGGCCCCCAATGAATCGTGCTCGACAGCCCCTTAGCGTCTCTAGGGGCCTTTACCTGGACGGTGAGGAGTACGAAGCGGCCGCACTCAACGCACAGCAGCCTGAGGAGGCACCGAAACTTTGCCCCTTTGGAGTAAGTTGAGGCGACGTGGTGCCGAAAGAAAGCCCGAAGACATTAAGCGCAACAAGCCTTTATAAGCTAGCATCGAAATAATCTCGTTTGCCTCAGCCCCACAGCCCCACAGCGGTTATCAGCGGTTCAAGCCGTTCTCAAGCTGCTCATGCCGCGGCTCTGCCGGCTTGGCTCTGTGTTTTCTAACTCCCTAGGCATGCTCCTAGCAAAGCCATCAAGCCCCGCAGATCACCGTAAACCATGTAAATCCTTTATTGTTTTCGTTCCAGATCTCCAGAATGCTTTCTAGAGCCTGCAAAAGAAGAGCATCCCAACGCCGGGCGGCCACGTCCAGGCTGCCGCCGCGGCCCCGCGGCCAGCCTTCCAGGATGCGCTGAACGGTTCTAAGAGTTCACTGGGTCTGCTCAGGGCTTGCTGGTTCCAGTGCAATAGACTCAGCGCTCATGGTTCAGGGCACGGTTGTGAGGCCTGGAATTTTGATGGCCTTGTGCATTCCCGCGCGGGTTAAGTAGGACTTGGGTGAAGTGTCAATACGGCCGCTGTCCCTGTTGCTGCCTTGTCCAACCTGTCCGTGGCCTACTCAAAAACTTGGGAGTGACAAGAGGCTGCAGCCGAGTCAAGTGCGGCCTCGTCTGCATGTGGAAGCTTGCTGCGTGCCCTTGCAGTTCGGTGCAAAGCTTGATAAGTCGCTCAGATCCCACGCCCGCCCATGTCAGGAAGACACGGAGGAGGCGATGCTCAAGCAGAGGCAGGGGGATGCAAGTTACGAGGCGTTGTCGGGCAGAGCGGCATGGTCTACCCGGGATGCATGCAGCGATGGGCATCGTAGTGCCGATGGTCTGCACGGAATCACAAAGCCTTCAAGTGTACCACTGGTCGTTAGCCTGCGCGGATCCGAATCGCCTCTTCGTTAGCAGTACTCTGGGTCTTCTGCTCCAGAGTTCGCAGTTCATGCTCCCAGTTCTGTTACGTGCTCGGATGAATTTCTTGCCTCAGGCTGTGGCAGCTGACAGCGTCCTGCGACAAGTTGGTCGATGAGGCATGCTTCAAGTTAATCTCGTTGGCCATGTACGAGTGCAGGTTCTTGCTCGTCTAGTATCAGTCGGGGGTGAGGCCCAGGGCAGCCCCAAACCCGACACAGGTGCACAGCGCCCGGCGGGAGCGCGCCGTAGAAGCCAGGAGACGGGCTGCATTTCAGGGAGGTTTACGGGGAGGTTTCGGGTGGGGGTATGGGTGATCTCGGGGTTTGCGAGGTTGGTGGATTCAGTGCTAGCCGTACCTTGGAGCACATGTGTCGTCTTCGTTGAACATCCCCGATGGCCTTCCCCTCGGCCACACTATACACCATTGCAGATCTCGTGTAGTCCCCTCTGCAGGACATTGCACGCCAGCGGCCCCAACATAGGGCCCGCAGGTCCCAAGTGGTTGAGGGCACTAGAGCACTACCCGAGAGCCCATCCGAGCCCTCTGCAGCGGAGTGGCTAGTATTTTGAGATCTCGAGAGCGTTAAGGTTCGCCCATTTTCAAGGATGTGTTTCCCGAAAGGCAAGGCTCGCGCGTGGACTGAAGGGCGTTTTTGGGCTTGCGGTTTTGCAGCGTGTTCCAGAGCCTCCTGCTCGACTGTCTTTGGGCGTTTGTGTGACGCTCCACAGCTCCGGAGTTTGAAGATCAGACCAGTAAATGTTTGCCCCTAGCTGAACCCACTTAACTCTCAACGCCGAGGCCTTGTCTTACACAGAGGATCGGTCGCCTCCCTGGACTTGCGCTGGCTTCCTTTTGGGGATTGAAGAAGGGGGGGCTTATGGTGCTTGTGGGGCTTTCGGGGTTTGTGCGGGGTGGAGTGTGGATGTTTAATGGGACTCGTGTTCAGTCTGGGCCTTCAGGGCTTCGGGTTTACGGAGAATTTTCTATTCTCGAGGCGCTACCAGTCATGCTTGGTCAGGTGGAGGATGCGTACCTCGCGTGCATGTCTGATGTTATCTGCGGTCGAGCTCAAGTCCCCCGAACTCCACTTCTCTGCCAAACTTGTAGAGTCTTACCCAGCCTTCAAAGTGCAAGAGCCCGAAGCTGTGCTTGAAGGCCCCTCGAGTACTTCCCGACACAGCATGCTGTCCCCCCCCCCCCTGTGTGAGACAAAAAAGCACAAGAGGCTGGCAGAGTCGCGGACCGAAGCTGCGAGGCACATGGGACGTGTCAGCTTTCGGATATCGGGTGTGGGATTCGCGAAGTCGGACAACATTAGCTAGGACGGAGCGACTATGGCAAGGTTTACATGAGTATGTCTATGATGTGTATGCCTCTATGCATTGCCAGAAGACGTCCTGCAGTGAGCCATTGCAAGACACCAAGACTTCAACAGAAGCATCAACGGAAGACCGAAGCCCAGGCTGTCAGCGGAGGTGTCCCACATCACAGCGCCAGCACGCTTGCAGGTGGCCAGGGATAACTTCTCGAAGCCTAAAGCCCAAGGGTATTGTGAGTACTGTCTCTTGGCGTGACTTCATTGACTTATGCCTTTGACTACATTGAAGGCTTACAGTGCTTGAATGCTCAAGTTCATCGGGGCTTGGAAAGCTTCAGGAATGTAGGGCTCCCGGCGCACGTCAAGCAAAGGCAGCACTTGGCTTGGCCCTTCGATGGTACACATGCACCCACCAAAACACTCTTGGAGGCTGAGGCCTGGGTGGTGGTGAGTCGTGGTAGTGGTGGTGGTGGTGGTGGAGAGCCTAGGGGAAACTTGAACATCGGCATCCTGATGTTTGACTTGGTTTGCCTCCCTTTTTCCTTTTTCCCTCTCGCTTTCTTCTCAAGCGTCCAACCATGGAGCCCTAGCCTGCATAGAGAATTCCCCCCTCATGCGGCTGTCTCGAAAGGAGCCGCGGACCTCGCGGCTGCGCGTGGGAAGGGCATCCCTTGGCAGTTCCCAGACATCTGGCCGCACAGTGAGCCCTGCAACGTTTATTGTTCTGGGCCTGGGGACTAAGCCCGTCAGGCTTGTCCTAAGTCTCCAAGCAAAAAGCTTTCGGCCGAAGCAAGGCTCGCGCACTCGGCTCGAGTCTCAGAACTTCTTGGAGATCTGCAGGTGTTCCGAGCTCTCGAGCTCTTAAGGGTTTCGAGGATGCTTCAAAGGATGTTGGGGTTCGTTTGTTTCACCACATAGGCCCAAGCCTTCCAATTCCAAGTGCAGATGACCCCCGAACCACACGCGGGCTCGACCTCAAACAACCAAGGGCATCTGAGGTGTAAACTGTTCTAAACTCGGGTCCCATCTTTGAAGCAAGGGCACTGGGCACGCCTCCAAGTGCCCTGTACTGGAGGAGTGGCTCTCGACCGAGGAGGCTCAGCTCGACGCACAGGAGGAGGAGTTATCGTTTTCTTGAAGGGGTTGGGGAGGGCGTGGAGTTTGGGGGCCGGCCTTTGCTCCCGAAGTCAGACCACGCCTGGGAACTTAGGGCAGTTTTCAGGCACTTCAGGCACCACACCGGCCGGTGGCTGACAACACAATATGAACCCCAAGACCCTGTTGTCGCTTCAGTGCCAGCTGCTTCCGCCTCAACAACCAGGAAACAGTGTAACCAACAAATTCACAGAGCCGGAGAACTAAGAAGCACTGCAGGAGTTTCAAGCCCGGTCCGGCAAAGGTCAGATGTAGGAGCTAGCCTTCTGCCCACTGATCCATACATTACAGTGATGCACTGAGCTGCAACAACCTCCCACTATCCTGAGTCGAAAGAAGCGACTTGCCAAGGCCACTCAAGCACGACAGCCATCATTGACAGAACTCCACATATGACAGGGTCAAGGGTCTTCGCTTACATTTTGGGCAGGATTCCGCTTAAGCCTTACAGGTTCTCCACGGTTGACGTCCAGGACGAATGCGTAGATAGAGTTTGGATGCAGGGCATGTCTCGTCACGCAGGACGCTAGGTAGAGTCAGCCGAGTGCAGCATGGATGAGTGGTCGGCGTCTTGCAGCCATCTTTCAGCTTCTCGGAGCCTTGCCCTCTGTTCAGCCTTGGGCTGATCTTTCTGTTCGCCATGACTGCCATTTCGATGTCTTCCTCCAGCTCGTGTGTGCTCGTCGAGGGGAATGCGAACCAGTACGATGTCCGCCGCCACTGCTACATCCTCCCCCCTTGCCCCTTTCCCCCCCGCTCGCCTCCCCCTCCTCCCCAGTAGACGCTGGCGGGAGGTAGTGGGGAGGCAAAATGCCCAGGGCAGAAGTCCTTCTGCTCCAACCCAAAAAGCCCCCGAAAGGGGAAATGACCATCCCAAGGGGCCCCCCGAAGCCGCAGGCTCCAAGCGCGCCTTGCGGACGTAAGCGAGCCCGGGACGTCCGGACCGTCGGAAAGACCCCAAAACGGGCCTGGAGTGCCCAACGGTCCCAGGGTCCAGAGGCCCAGCTTTACCGGCTGCTCCGCAGGCCGGGGAGGCTTTGAATAGGCTTTGGAAGGGGCGTTGAGAGGTTGCAGATGTTTAGGCTGACAGCTGTCGGGAGGGGGGAGCTTGCAGCCGCATGAACTGACAACACACCGGCGTGGACCTCTCTTGTCTCCCGGAAGCCCAATATTCTGAATGCTACACGGCCGCTTTCTTCGGGCGCCCTGCGCCAGGCTTTGCCCGGAGCGTCGCCGGCACCTCGCCGAGCGATTTTCGCAGGCCCCGCACGAGGGTACGAGAGGGGGCGGGTGGTGCAGGTCTTCTCACGTAGGTGCCTCTGCCTCCTCTAACAGGGAAATCGACCAGCATAGAGACAATAGAGCGGTCTTGTTCTGTTACACATCGGCTGACCCACGGAAAATTCAACATCTCTCGCTTGTTGTTCGGTCTTCCATGGGGTTCGGAGTTGGGGGCTTTGGGACAGGAGTTGTGTGTTGCAGGTTGGGAATGCAGGACTATAGGGATAGACCCTCCTGTGGTCGCAGCCGAGGCTGCCAAAAACTATTTCAGCGCACGCCCCGGCGGTTAGTGAGCCCACATGTCCCAAAACGATTTTCGCATTTCGCGAGCACCGACGTCCAAGAGCGATGCCAGTTTCAAGGATGGCGAGCGCAGGGGCGGCCACTCGAGAACACGATTTTCGCCCAATCAGCGAGCAGGCATCATATCGCGCGCACGTGCGCCAGCCACGCAGTCCCATCGACCTACCCCCTGCTACTCTTGACGTTGCTTGGGGAATCAATCCGCAGACAGCGCGCTCCTCTTAGAGCCTCCCCAAATCCCACATCGCAGGATCCAAATCTGCTCACAGGGCATCCGAGCAATCCTTAGAGTTCCCCAAATTGTCTGAACACACCATCCAAGCAACAGGCGCAGCGCTTGGCCCTGGAGCGATGGATGTTGGACCCCACGAAGTCTTGGGGGGTTTCGGCTCTGGGCCTTGAAGGGTTCAGGGTGTTTTCCAAACTCTTAGGCTGCGGGTGCAATTGCTTCGTGGGGTTTGGGTCGGTTGGCAGTCTGAGTCTTCAAGGTTTCAGTGTTTCAGGAGCGGCGGTAGCATGTGAGGGCCTGAGGGTCCGGCATTTCGGAGTTGAGGGGGTTGGCGTACCCAACCCTTGTGGATGGACCCATTTTTTTTTGTTTCTTTCTGGGGCGCGAGAGAACGGGTGTGCATGCTTCTAGTAAGGGACTGGAGGGATCGGAGGGACCCTTAGAGTTAAGGAGCCATATAGGGGGTTGAACAGGGGCTTAGGTATATAGGCTATAAAGGTCCAGGTCGTATCAAGGAATGCACCATCTGCCCATATCTTATTTCTTCATTTTCCGCAAAGCGCAAAGCCCGCAACCTCGGTGCCTTACACCCCAAATCCTAAACCCTAACCTTAAGTCCCATCCCTGAGTCCTCAACCCCTTTGAAGCTTTCCCAAAGCTCTGAGCCTTGGATCCCATGTCCTGGAGGACGGCGGCCACTGCAAAGGCTCTGCGACCCCTCAAAAAGTCCCAGAACCCCAAAGTGGCGGGGGGGGGGGGGGGTTTCGGCACACAGGGGGGTTTAGGGGATAGAGCATCCCACCACCCCTAAACCCCGAAATGCCCCCAAACCCTGACCAAAGGCAACGGGAGCCCGCCAGCGGGAGGTGGCACCACGCGCCCGAAG